ATGAACACAGCCTCAGCACATCTGGAGGCTCCCATCTAATCTCTGGAGTTGCTATTATTAATCTGATGTCATACAGACAGTTATTAAAATAGCATAATGCTCAAGACAGAGCTTTTTTTACTTGTTATGTACCATCAAGTGGACAATTTATAGTGACCCTATGAACGAAGCTTGCTCTATCTTGCACCAGTCACACCATGTCTGATATGTTCAAGCTCACTGTTAATGTTATTATGTCAACCTTGTTGTTGGATTCATCTTCTCTTTTTCTGACCCTTCACCTTTCCCAGCACGATGTCTTTTTCCAAGGACTTGCCCCTACCAACAAAATGCCCAAAGTATATGAGACAAAGTTTCCCCATCCTGGCCTCTGAAGAGCACCCAGGCTGCCACTTCCTCCAAGACAAACTTGGGTTTTTGTTTTTTGGGGTTTTGTGGTGTTTGGTTTTTTTTTCTTCCAGTCTATGGAATATTCAACACTCTTTTCCAGCACCACAATTCAAAAGTATTGATTCTTCTCTGTCATTCTTATTTGCTGTTCAATTATCAAATACACAGAAAGCAACGAAATAAATAAAAAGTAGCTTAGATCAAGTGCACCTTAGTCTTTAACTGATATCCTTGCTCTTTGGTACTGCAGAAAGGTCTCTGACAACAGACTTCCCAGTGCAACATGGTTTGATTTCTTGACTGCTGTTACCATGGGTATCAATTGTGGATGTAAGTAAAATGAAATAATTGACACTTCAATCTTTTCTCTATTTATCATGGTATTATAGAGTTCTGGTGGCCTCATGGTAAGAAGAAACCCCAAAGGTATACAGTTTGATTCCACCAGCTTGCTCTACACCAGTAAGAATCATCATGATAATACCTATTGATCCAGTAATAAATAAGGACTTTTGCTTTCTTCATGAAGAGATGTAATCAATTTTTCTTTAATGGAAAATACTCTTTGATCTGCAATAAGTGCTTCAAATCCTCCTCACCTTCAGTAAGCAAGTTTGTGTCATGTGCACAACAAAGGCTGTGGATGAGTCTTCACTCAATCTTGATGACACGTTCTTCTTCATCTAGTCCACTTTAATGTTTGTTCAGTGTAATAACTAAATAGGTACAGAGAAAGCATACAACCTTGACACTACTTTTCCTCATTTTAAATCATCCTTTGTTTTATTAGGACAATTGCTTCATCATCTAGGTATAGGTTTTTGTATGAGCTCAATTAAGTATTCTGGAATTTCTATTCTTTCTCAACGTTAATCATAATTTTTTACAATCCACACACCCAAACTCCTTTGCATAGTCAATAAAACACACAAACATCTTTCTGGCACTCTCTGCTTTCAGTCAAGATCCATTAGACATCAGCAATTTTTTCTACCTTCTTTACTGTTGTTATTATTATGTATCACTGAATTGCCTGTGACTCATAGCAACACTAAATACAACAGCTATGAAGCCTGCCCTGCCCTAAGCTATTCTCACTGACTTCAACACACCTATCCCCATTGCCTAGTCACTGTATCAATCCATCTCATCTGGTGTTCCTCTCCTGCGCTGTCCCTCCACTCTTCCGGGCATGATGTCCTTCTACAAGGACAGGTCCCTCTTAGCCATGTGCCCAAAGTATGTGAGATAGAGCTTCAAAACCCTAGCCTCCAAGGAGAAACTTGGTTTTACCCTCTCCAAAACAGACTTATTTGTTTTCTTAGTGGTCCATGGTATGTTCAAGACTCTTCTCCAGCACATCTCAAAGGCATTAATTCTTCTTCTGTCGTCATTCGTCACTGTCCAGCTGAGGCATAGCAAGTAATGGTGAAGCCCATGGCCCGGATCAGGCACACCTTTATCACTAGAATGACATTGTTGCTTTTCAGCACTCTGGAGAGATCCATGACAGACCTTCCCAGTGCAATTAGTCTTCTGATTTCCTGACTGCTGGTGTTAAGAGTACTGACTGTGGAGCTGAGCAAGCTGTAGTTGTTAACAGCCTCAACCTCTTCTCCGTCTATCATGGTGCTATCAATTGGCCCAGTGGTGAGAATTTTTGTCTTCCTAATGTTGAGGTTCAATCCATATTAAAGACTACTTTCTGTAGCAAGCAATTCAGGTCCTCCTCAGTTTCAGCAAGCAAGGTTGTGTCATCTGCATATAACAACAGTCAAATATTTACCACCATCAGTACCACCACCAGCACCACCAAGGCTCCTTTAAAAAATATTTGGTAAATGCTGAAGAAGTTAAAAAGAAAAACAAATATCCACTGTAATTCTATTCACACAGAGCATGTAATTAAATATAGACAGTGTCTGGTGTACAGTTTTACAATCTTTTTTCTTTTACCACAAGCATAATTGATAATTTCAAAATAATGAAAGTTCCACACTCACTGTAAAACTCTTTTAAGTCACTTATAGAATACATAAGGAAGAGCCTTCACCCTACCCCAGGCCCAGTGTTCCTATCACGTTTCTTGCTTATCAGATGTAGAGACTGATTTTATAACCAAGGAGAAAAACAGACTAGCACCACTGGATGGAGACAGAGTCCTCCAACTCTAATCATAACATGCGTTAGTTTTTCAGGCAATAAATCGTGACTGCAGCACTTCTAAAATATCAAATTAAAATTATAATACACTCTTATACTTGGTGCTTTTTTGTGTAATACAATAACTTAAAACCTAAGGTAATTATTTTTCACATTTAAAATAAGTGTTTTCTTTTCATTAACATATGAATATTTTACCTACCCTCCTCCCAAAAAAATGACTGGGGGAAAAAAAGGCAAAGCAAAAAAATTAGTTTACATGGTATTATACCCTTATGAACAATTCTAATACTGAATCATTAAGAGTTCTAAAAAGTAACTGTACTTCTAAAAGCTTTGGTTTCAAACAAAGCATTGATTTTCAAACAAAGGTTTTTTTTTAAAAAAAGGGCATGAATCACTTCTTCATTTGACAAGCTTAGGATATGTATTTCAAATTAGCACAAGTTGACAGTATTCAAACTGCCTAGTCAGTCAAGATATAGACAAAACATTGCAACCCTTAATGCCTTTCAGTGTGTGACAAGTAAAGTGAGCGGGATTCCACACTTCCGAGTGCGATTCACTGACTATTTGTCCACTGTTCTCTCCTCTCTAATGGTTCAGTGTCTCTTCAATTTGCTTACACTATAATTCTGCCATTAAACAACAGACATGAGTGAAACTATATAATCAATGACCAGAAGTTAATTTGTAAGGTAAAGGTTTCATTTTTAAAAATGTAAGTTAGAAATCTTTCTAAATCACAATTTTAGAAAACCCGTAATAATAATTGTTTGGGGAAAAAAGCCTATTATATGATTTATCACAAAAATGAAAAATCCCATATAAGTTTTCAACTAAACAATGACTAACTTAAAGTCTTGGTAACCTTATTCTAGCTACATTTTTTCAAAAAAGTCACAAGGAATAAAAGGCAAAAGATTTATATGATCTGAAAAGAAACAGGAGTGGGAAAACTAATCAGAAAATAATTAGGATAATGTGATTGCAATGATTTTGCATTAGAGACAGATATCACTTGAACTTATTTAACTGCAAAAAGTCAAAGCTAAGATAAAACAAATTTACCACTAAAAATTATTCTAAACAATGCAGAAACTTTAAAAAACACAGAGCATAACAAAGCAATACAATGAAAACTGTACATTAAAATACACGTTAGGGAGGATTAAGAAGAAAATACATTTGTCTGTATGTTTGTCTCGAAACATAATTTGCATATAAGTAATCGAGTATTTCATCCATGGACTGGAGCACTATGAAGACGGTGAGAACAGAGCAACTTTTCCTTCTGCTGTACATGAGATAACAAGATAGAGCTAACTCAAGCAACTAGTAACAGATTTTACATGTGTGTGCACACGCAAACATATATAAACATTTATAAACAAACGTATCTAAAACATTTGATTCTTGGATTCCAATTCATAAAGACCATTGTTCCAACTCATGGCAACGGAAAACTTCTCCAGAGTGTTTTCTAAACTGTGATCTTTCTGAAACTGTGACCTTTCTTCTGAAGTGGCTCTGAGTAGGCTTGAACCACTAACCTTTGGCCACTAGTCATGTCCTTCACTGAACCACCAAGACTAACCATACATCTGTATCATTCTTTAAAATTGTATGTAGTATCCTCAAACAAAAATACTTAAAATAGCAAGATGGGGCAAAAAGAGATTTAATGATGAATAAAACTTTCATCACAGATTTCAAAGTAAATGATTCACAGAAACACATGACAGACATTAAGACCATTGCTGTAAAAACAGAAGGAGAACTAGTAGGATGTAGATAAAAGTTCAAAAGAGGTAAGGGAAGGAGACAGGGAGGGGGAGAAATGATGGGATTCCAGAGTTTGGTGGATATAGGGAAGGGGTGAAGGATTTATGATAGATCTAGTGGGGACCTGAAAAGATGTCATGATTGTGGGAATAGATCAATGGTGATTCACTTTACAAAGCACAGTGCATGGGAATGATCCCATGAAAAACAATGAATAGAGGAAAATGTGACATGTACATGAATGAAACTCAGGTGTGACAAATTTTATATGCAAACCTATACACACACACACACATATTTTTTAGAAAAAGACATGACAGAATGTAGCTTGAGGGAGAGAACTGTTAGGAGGAATATAAGATTAAGTATTATTGCCATGAAAAGAGTCCAGAATGAAAGCTGCACAGTAGAGTGGACAGGGGGCGGTGGGGTGGGGGGGAGAGGATATTGTATAACCATGAAAGAATTTTTTTTTTTTACTTTTCAAAGAGATAATATAACTGGGGGTAGCAGTGGGGAGGGAGGAAAGTGTTTGACAATGAATGAATGGAAATCCAAAGTCTCTCTAAACTTTCATTAAAATAAAATTAAATTAAATTTTAATTAAAAAAGCAAAAAAACAAACCACCACCACCAGCTCTCTTTGCTGAACTCCAACTCACCAGGAAACTGTGAGACTATTGGGGGCGTATCTTCATCCAAGTCATCGACTCCTCCAGCGATCGGGTAGGGTGGAATGGAGACTCTGGGCATCACCACCCAACTGTGATCAGAGTACAGAGAAGAGGTGAGGCTGGGGAGCCCAGAGTTATGGGCTATCTGGAAGCCACAGATCTTCTCAATCTGTTGCCAGCGAAAAAGTCGTTCACGTAAACAAGTTGTCAATTCAGAGAGGGCTTTCCTGGAAAAGCCAGTGAAGTAGTTACTTGTTGCAGCAAAGCCTGTTTATTATGGCACAGAATAAAAGCAACCACACAAACACACCATGACACTTTCCTAATTTCAAGAAGAAACTGACTGGTCTTCAAATAAAAGGTGGAATTGTACACGATTAAATGATCAACAGTCTCTAAATTACTCACTTCAACACGGTAAAGAGAAAGTTCTGTAAAATCATGCTCTTACTTGGCCTCTAGAATTTTGTGGTCCACCTCGTCCAGGGAGGAGCTATGTGCAACGTGCAGAGTGCCAAAGACGGTGTTTCTCTTCTTTTTAATTTTCTCTGCCTAGAATCCCGGGGGGAGAAGAAGAAACCCAAAGGTTCGGTTTGAAAAAATATTATAAACACATACTCATCAAGTTTGTTTTCTTTTGAATGTATTAATAATTGTAAAACCAGTGGAGAATCATTAACCAAGATACAGCCCTGTTTTTCAAAGACGAAAGCATATCGGGAGAAGAAGGAGCATGCTTCCTGAGCCATCAACAGAATGTAAAACCTGATATTCTCACTTATCTGTATGGCTAAGAAAGACCGGAATCTCCTTAACACTAACAGAATAATATGAACTATATCACAGTGAGGGTGTTAGTGAAGTGAATTGATCATTTTTAGTTTTTCTAGAAATCAGATTAACTTAATCTTGTTACACACAATATACTTCAGAAATTGATTTCTAGTAATTACTAACCTGAATCAGACATGAAGCAGCGACCTAGAGGAGAAAAGCTCCGTATAAAACATTTACAATATTGAAAACAGTCATGATTTTTAAATGACCCTAAGGTCATTTTGAAAGTATATGTTTCTTTAAATAAAGCAATTTTACCATACAGCCAAGGACTACAAGAGTCTATTGTGCAGCACCAGTTTAAGATTCCTACTTAAACAAACAAAACCACACCAAAACCACCAAACCCAATATGAAATTATAAAGGGAGCCCTGGTGGCCTAGTGGCAAGAAGCTGCACTGCAATCCCAATGGCACAGGGTTTGAGTCCACCTGCTGCTCTGCAGGAGAAGAATGGGCAATCTCCTCCCATGCAATGAACTACCTCTGAAAACCCTTCAGAAGGTTAGTTAGGGATCGGTTCCAACTTGATGGCATACCACAACAAGAACATGTAAGTATAAACATTTTATTCAGTTTATAACCCAGTTGGATTTATACCTCTAGATTGGAATAAAAGGAAGAAATTTATTTCTTAATTTTTAAATATAATAGATTAAAAAAGTACCTCATCCTTAGCAATCGCTAGCTGCATTTCTGCATTTTGTCTTTTAATATTGTAGTACTGCACTTCTACTTCATGTGTCAACTGAAGCCATTTCTGAAGGGCGTCTGGAACAGACCAGGTACTTCTGAGCTCAAATTCTTTCTCAGCTTTTTTCAGAGCCATGCGCACCTGGAAGTGGGGAAGAAAATAGAAAACTTACTTAAACTTCATTATGTGCTGGAATAAATCAACAAAAGTACTATACACAAACTTCTGATATTAAATACAACAGTTTTCTGACACAGGAAATAATTACCTTAAAATGTTATTTTAGGGTTGTTTTTTTTTTTTAATTTTAATAAACATTTACAGAGATTTTGGATTTCCATTCATTCATTGCTGCACTTTTCTCCCTGCCCACCCCTCCCCACCAGTTCACTCCCCTCTCCGAAAAGAAAAAAAAAATCCTTCATTGGTAAACAATTCCCCCATCCCTTCCCCCACACCCCCTGCCCCGAGTACACGTCTCTATGCAAGCTTAATTCTGGATTCCTGTGCTAACCATAATACTCAATCATATATCGCCTCTAATCTGTTCTTTCCCTCATCTGTCTCAATACAGTATACATAATTTACCCAGTTTGTTCTCAGTCTTGCCCCAACCCTGATGTCAGACCCATTCTACAACAGTGGCACCATGCAGTATTAAAAATACAAATTTTTTAAAAATATAGACATCCAAAGTAGAACACTGTTCATACAACTCAAAAGAGAGATATCAAAACTAAGGGTAAAATATAACTCACTCACTGGGAATAAATCCTAAGTAACATATTTGTTCCCATTCCAAAGAAAGGTGACCCAACTGAGTGTGGAAACTACAGAACAGTGTCATTGATTTCACATGCAAGCAAGATTCTACTGAAGATCATCCAAAAACGACTGGAACAGTACATCAACAGAGAACTGCCGGAAGTCCAGGCTGGGTTTAGAAGGGGTCGTGGTACTAGGGATATTGTTGCTGATGTTAGATGGATCTTGGCTGAAAGCAGAGAATACCAGAAGAATGTCTATCTGTGTTTCATTGATTATGCAAAGGCATTTGACTGTGTGGATCATAACAAACTGTGGCTGACTCTGAGAAGAATGGGTATTCCAGAACATTTAATTGTGCTAATGCGAAAGCTATACTTGGACCAAGAGGCATAGTCAGAACAGAGCAGGGCAACACTGCATGGTTCAAAATTGGGAAGGGTGTATGCCAGGGATGCATCCTGTCTCCATACCTTTTCAACATGTATGCAGAGCAGATTATCCGAGAGGCTGGGCTCTATGAGGAGAATTGTGGCATCAGGATTGGTGGAAGATCTATCAACAATCTCCGTTATGCAGATGACACAACCTTGCTTGCTGAAACTGAGGAGGACCTCATGCACTTGCTGCGAAGGGTCAAGGACTGTAGCCTTCAGTATGGAATGAGGCTCAATGTCAAGAAGACAAAGATTCTCACCACTGGACCAATTGGTAGCGTCAGGATGGATGACGAAGAGATTGAGATTGTTCACAGCTTCAGTTTGCTCGGCTCCACAGTCAACACTTTTAGCACCAGCAGTCAGGAAATCAAAAAGCATATCGCGATGGGAAAGTCTGCCATTAGGGACCTCTCTAAAGTACTCAGGAGCAATGGTGTCTCTCTGGAAACTAAGGTGTGCCTGATATAGGCCATGGTCTTTGCAATCGCTTGTTATGCATCAGAGAGTTGGACAATGACTAGGGAGGACAGAAGGAGAGCTGATGCTTTTGAGCTGTGGTGCTGGAGAAGAGTACTAAATGTACTGCCACTGGACTGCCAGCAAAACAAACAGATTCATCTTGGAGAGGATTAAACCAAGCTACTCCTTGGAGGCCAGGATTCTGGGGCTTTGTCTGACATACTTTTGGACATGTTGCCAGGAGGGACGGGTCCTTGGAGAGGGACATCATGCTCGTGAGGGTGGAGGGACAGCGCAGGAGGGGAAGACCCTCTATGAGATGGATTGATTCGGTGACTGGGGTAATCGGGATGGGTGTGTCAGAGGCAGTGCGGTTGGCACAGGATAGAGCAGGGTTTAGGGCTGTTGTACATAGGGTCACTATGAGTCGCAAACGACTCGATGGCACATAACAACAACAACAACATTTGTCTGACATGATTCACAGTACAATATGCTTATGATAATAGTGTGAAATAAAACTATTGGGTAAACTATGTGGCATCCTGCTAAATCTCCCAGGAAGAGAGACTGAGCTTGGCTTCTAAGATATGGACACATCAAATGCAGGCAAGCAGACCCTTTTGTGTTCAAGATTTTAAAGGTAAAATTTCTAAACAATCTTTATGTCCTAATCAACAACTTTCATTTCATATTGCAAGCTTGAATAAACTGATCTCTATTTTTTCTACTTAAATAGGAAAATTTTCGTTAACATAATCATCATAAATTTCTTTGACTTAAAAAAAAGCCTCAAAAGAAATTCAGCTAAACAGAATAGCATCTATTTTACACACAGATGAAGTGAGGCAAATCTTAACAATGTTTAGATTATTAACTATCAAATTGTGTCTCAAAATTTGTAAATATAGCATTTCAATTGTTGTTGTTGTTGTTACTGACTGCTGTCAAGTCAAGCATGACTCATAGCGGCTTTATGAAGAAAAGACCTTAACACCTGTATCACTTGTATAACTTTCATAGTTTCTCCATGTTCATAGTTTCCGGAGGCAAGCTATTTTGGAAGTGGATGCCACTCCTGCTTCCAAGCCTGTTCATAGAGTTTCCAGAGGCATGTTGTTTACGAAGTGGCTGCCACTGCTGCACAATGATAATTATTTTAAATATTCTAACAATCGTAATTCAACCTAAGTTTCAATCCTTAGCTTGAATGACTTTATTATTTACAGAAATTATTTAAATAGTCTTTGTTGTGGTGATAAAGCAACAAAAAATTTAAGATTCTAGAAATGACATCTAAATATCTGAAAACCTGCCTTCTAAATCCAACCTCATACTCTCTGTCCTCTAGCAAGTCCCTTAAGTTCTGAGGCTCAGGGTCTCACATATTCCTTGTTCTCAAGACTTTCTTTGAAAAACCAAAATAACTTCTGTGACTTCTGTGAAAATGATTTAAACTAAATAAACACTGAATACAGGGTTCTAGTGTTCTTCTGGGTAGAGAGTTGTGAGATTAATCCAAAGGCTTGTGGTTCAAATCTACCAGCTGCTCTGTGGGAAAAAGACGAGCAACCACCTTCCATGCAATTTACCACCTCTGAACACATGGTGGATGGTCAGCTATGAGTCAGTTCCAACTTAGAACAACTTGAACACAAAGCAGTGCTACTACTAACCTAATAAACTACGCCTTAGAGCAGTAACACTGTGAGGGTACTCTGGTGGCCTAGTGGCAAGAAACTGCACTGCAATCTTGAAGGCATGTGGTGGCTCAAGACCACTAGCTAATCCGCAGAAGGATAGGCAACCGCTTCCCGTGCAGCTATACGGTGATTACGACTTTACAGTACACAACAACAACATACAAAATACATACCAGATGTTCATCTCACATACATTGGACATGTTATCAGGAGGAGTCATCACACTTTGAAAAACAAAGGGTTGTTAGCAAAGGAGAATAAAGACCCTCCAGGAGATGGACAGACACAATGACTGCAACAAAGAGATTAATCGAGGGTCACTGTAAAGATGGCACAGGACTCGGCAAGGTCTCAAGCTGTGGTGCATACACAGGGGTTATGAGTCAGAGTCCACTCAGCAGGGTCTAAAAACAGTGTGACACTATTTTTCGTTTTTTAAGACTACCACATCATTCTCCAAAGCAGTTGTACCATTTTTGCCAAGTGCCAGCAATGGATGAGGGTTTCAATTTTCCCATATCCTTGTCAGTGCTTGTTATTCTTTTTTGGTGGTGCTGTTATTTGTCTGCTTTCATCTTAAGCATTTTATTAGAGTATAATGGAACCCCAATGTGGTTTGCTTTCTTCAACAACTTAAGAACAAAAAGGTAAATATTCAAATTATCAAATGGACAAAGAATTTGAATAGAGAACATTCAAATGGCCAGCAAACATATGAAAAGATCTACCATCAGAGAGATAATAAATCAAAACCACATCGGGATATCATTACACTACTAATAGGACAATTAAGATAAAGAGAGACAAAAAACCCAACAGTTGTTGTTGTTACATGCTGCTGAGTAAAATACAACCCCCAGCAAACATAGGAATAACAGATATGAATCCTTTCCTATCCTGCGCCATCCTCACATTTCCTGATACATTACAGCCCACTGCGACAGTCACCATGTCAATCCACCTGGTTGAGAGTCTTCCTCTCCTTCACTGACTCCCCACCTTTGCTGGCATCATTTCCCTCTCCAAGAAATAATAGCCCCTCCTAGCAACAGGCCCAAAGTATGTGACTCTAAGCTTTACTATCTTAGCCTCCAATGAGCATTCTGGCTGCACCCACTCCAAGACATATCTGTTTGTTCTTTTGGTCGTCCATGGGATGTTCAATGCTCGTCTCCAAAACACCACAGCTCAAAGGCATCAATTCTTCTGTCATCCTTATTAAATGTACAGCTCTCAGATACATAGCAAGTGACTGGAAAATCCATGGCTTGAATCAGATGCACCCTAGTCCTCAAACTGACATCGTTACTCCTCAATAATTTGGAGAGGTCCTTAACTGCAGACTTCCCAGTGCAATACATCTCCTGACATTATATATATAATTTCAGACTCTTGTCATAGACATGATTTCCAAAAATACTCTCCTAGTAGGTCAGATATTCTCCTAGTGGGCTGCTTCTCTTTTCACATTCTTGATAAAATGTTTTTATGAACAAAAGTCTTACATTTTTATGACACCTTATTTGTCTTTTGTTATTTGTGCTTTAGTTATTAGTTTAGATAATCCATTCTTGAAGTGCTGGGCCTGCCATCAATGCACCTGCATGTTCATTTATTGGTTTTGTTTCCACATTTAGGGCCTCACTCTACTCTAAATCTCTAAATCTGGGTCTGTTTGAATAGTACAAAACAAAGAATCGGATTCATCTTTCTGCACGTAGGAATCTCATTTCCCCAGCCCCACTTATTGAAGAGACTCTTCTCTCATCAAATTCACTGAACATCTTTGTTAAAATCAGTTGACGCCAGATGTCTGAGTTTATTCTTGGACTCTCAATTCTATTTCATTGATTTACACAGATACTATGTCTGTAGCAGGCTGTTCTGACCACTGAAGGTTTACAGTATGTTTAAAATCATCAAGTGTGAGTCCTACTTTGTTCTTCCCTCTCAACACCACTTTAGCTCTTCAGGGCCTTTTGCTCTATCATGTAATAATGAGGACTAGTTTTTCTATTTCTGTAAAGAAGGCTATGGAAATTTTGATCATAATTTTGTTTACTCTGGATTGTTTCTGAGTAGTATTGACATCTTAGTAATACTAAGTTTCCCAGTGCGTGTCCTTGGAACATTTTTACATTTATTTCAGTCTTCTTTAATCTTTCATAAGTTTTGTCGCATCACTTCTTTAAATCTCATGTTAAGATTTGTTACCTAGGTATTTTACTTGCTTACATGGTATTGTAAATGGATTCATTTCCTTCATTTCCCTTTCTGATTTCTCACTGATTAAGTATAACAAAAAGGGGGTGGGTGCCGTATAAATTATGACGCATGAATTTTGCCTTTGCAATGTAATAGTTGTATGAGCAATGAGAAGTTATTCAACTTCTCTACACAGATCAACATAACAACAACAACAACACACAGACCAACGGTAAATGAGGATAATATCTACACACTGTAAGGATAAAAACACAGGGGTAAGCTCTTTGCCATATGCATAGCATGCATTTCTGGCACTCAGTAAGCACTCAGGAAATTGCATTTCTTATTACTATAATCATGTTGGAAAGAGTTCTTTCTAAAATGCAGTATCTGTTTTCTTTCTTTAAAGCCTATCTGACTGACTCAAGGCCTCATTAGGATGATTAAGTTTGTGTTACAGCATGACATCATTGTTACCTTTGGTTCTACTGAAGCATGAGGTCTCTATGCCAAATGCCTTAGAACAGAGTATTTTTAATTCTTGAGTCCTTTTCATATTGTGTCCTATCTCCCTCACTGTTATGCAATCATCTGTAAAATACTGCTATCAGTATATCTCTTTAGAAGAATTTTCCTACTAATCCTTTTTTATTTGCTTTTTCTTATCTGCAAAATTTAGAAAAATAGTTAACAAGTATGTTAGTTCTAAGAACAAACTCGAGGTTAAACATTCTGGTGGGAACGGGCAGGAGTGTCCCTGGAGTACAAGACATAAGATCTAATTCCTGGACAGTGTTTCATTTTGGCTGAAATTTTTGTTGTTGCTGCTGTTGTTGTTAACTCTCTGGTTCTTGGCCATATTCTACATAGATAAAGTTTGTCAGGTAAATGAGGCATGACTGCAAAATACCAATTTAAATGAACAAAATTCTTATAGGGAAAGAAGCCAAGAAACCTATGTCTGCGGATAAGGAAGGGTGGGTGACACGTAACAAATGAGATGGCTGTAGTCAGTCAAATAGACAAATCCTACAGAAAAGAACAATCCTGAAGGAAATAGTAATGCAGGCTGTCAATTTTCCCATGACTTAAAATTAGACCTCATTAATCACATAATACATGGCATTTCTCACATTATATTTGGCTGAGAAGGGTGCAGGACATAAAGCAAAGCAGGAGCTATATTACCTAGACTTTTTCACCTGTTCTAAACACATTTACACTCTTACTCTGATAAGAGTTTTCCTTTCATTTTGTTCCTCAATTTATTTATCTGTAAAGAAGAGTCCAAGTCAGAAGGCAGAGTTAACGACAGCAGAGGTGATGCGTTTTGAAGATCGAGGATGACACTATGAGCCCAGAAATGCAGGCAGCCTCTGTAAGCTGGAGAAGCCAGAACCAGATTCTCCCTTTCAGTCTGTCTTTATAAGGAACATGGACTGGGCACCCATACTGGTGCTACCTTAAGCCAATGTTATGAGAATCTGTCACAATAGGAACTGGACACTAAATTGTCTGCTTAGAATTTAAGTCCAAGGTCCCTTTCACCAAAGAACTCTTGTGCAAAGTCTGAATCCTCTAGTCAATCTGTAGCAACTAAACAGAAGAAGATGGAGGGAAGCACATCTTTTAGGTACTTTCAGAGTTTGTGTTCTAAAACCATTTAACAGGATTCAAATAGGTGGTTAGTGGACATCTTTTATCTATGCAGAAAAATTAAGCATTACATAAGACTTCCTTATTTTACTAGGTTACAGTCAGAAATGTTAATATATTACAGATGCTAACTTAAATAAATACCCCAAGGTTTACTCAAGATGTTAAATACACCATAGGTAAAGGTTAAAGGCATGAATGAGCAAATATGATGGTAACTTTAGCTTTTAATTACTTCTCAGTTATTTTACCATCTGGACTTTGCTTGATTAATGCTAAAGAACTGCACAAAATAAAATTAAACGTAGGAGAGTGCTCCAAAAGTGGCCTGGCTCCTCAGAGAGCTGATGCACATATCCTGACAAGTCTTTTAGGAAAGTGTACACACCTGTTCCAGTTCCTGCTCTGCATACTGGCGTCGACTCAGCTCACACTCCGCTCCCTCTCTGAGCTCCCTCAGCCGACAGGCTTCCTCCTTTGCGTAATTGATTTCATCCATCATCTTGCGCTCTAGATTTTGTTTCTCTACAGCAACATTTCTGTTTTCTTCTTGTGCCTTTTCAAGCCTTACAGAACAATAAGAATGAACAGGTCTCACAAAGTTTCCACTTTTTTTTTTTTTTACAAAGGAAAAAAATATCAAGAAACTAGGTAGGTACCTGCTCTTACAGAATTCAGCAAGATCTTGCGATTAAAGATTTACCAATCTTAAACTCATAATATTAATAATAAGATAATAAAAAATATCAGAGAATCCCCTATCTAGCTATTTTGGTTACACAGGACTCAAAGCACAGGGATAACAGAGAAGCATTCTTCAGAGAGACAGTCTAATAAATATAGAAACATTCTTATAAAATATATTATTATATAAATCAAATGAAAATTTAACTATACAAATAATTCCACCTGTATTTGCTTCATTTTTACTGGTCTTTTTTCACCCATTTATTCCAAGTATTTATTGCAAAGCTGTGATTGTGATAATATATTGTTAAAATATGAAACAAAATGGACAAAATTTCTACCGAATGTACTAACCTAAATATCAATGGATAAGTACCTGCTTGTATTACGTTTTTATGAGTTGTATTTTCCCACATAAAATGTAAAGGTTTCAACTATTTTGACTCACCTCTCCTGTAAATCCATTAGACTTTGCTCTGCAGTTTGGAGACTCTCTAAATCTTTCATCATTTTTGCAACATGTTCTTTTGATGTCTTATTCTGTGTATAAGCAAACCAGCACCCTCCAACACCAATTACTATAGAAACTGTGAGGATAAAATCCTTCATCCAGTTATGAGGTGGGCCTACAAAGAGAATAACATATAGTTAATTAATCTTTGCCTGCAGTGGGATCAATGATCCTCAATTCAGAGACCCTTTTCATTTTAAGAATAGGTATCTTAAAAACAAACCACCACCTGAGAAGCTCTTCCTCCCATACACAAGCTCTAGCCTTTTAAAAATGTATTTCTTAAATCAATGTCTCTATCTGATATATTGCTGTTATGTGCCATCAAACTGACGACAACCCATAGCGATCCAATGCACAAGAGCTCTGAATCCTGCCCTATCCTGAACCAACCTCACTGTCTCTGACACACCTACCCCCGTTACCCCAGTTACTGTGTCAATCCATCTCATTCAGGGCACTGTCCCTTCACACTTCCAAGTCAGATGTTCTTCTACAAAGACTGATCCCTCCTGGCAAGATGCCCAAAGTATGTGAGCCGAACCCTCAAGATCCTTGCCTCCAAGGAGCAACTTGGTTTTACCCTCCAGGATAGATATGTTTGTTCTCTGTATGAGGCCTCTATATAGGAGGGCGGAGATGAAACTATTCGTATGTCCCATGTCTCTGCTAGTAGTGTAGGATAGAACAACAAATAATATATACTAGAAATCATTGAGGAACAACAGTATCTCCAATCATGAGGTTCTCTTTGTGTATGGAGCGAAAGGAATCCTAAAAAGTGCACCATTATCATTTCAACTCCTTGCCATCAGTTATGGCAGGCAGCTGCCAAACCACTTGAGTTTTCTACAACATGTACTATGAACTAATTATGCGTCTCTGGTTCCCAACAGTGAGTGAATTCCTCCCTAGTAGACCTTTGATTAATTTTTGGTTATGACAGCTAGAAGAGGAAAACGTAACCTGCACCTAGTGGACAGAGGCCCGACAGGTTGCTAAATACCCTAAAAGGCAGACAGAAGACAATGCTGTCGTCACCATGACCAACCCTAGGAACTGTCCAACCCAAAATGTAATCAGTGCTGAGGTGAAGCAACCCTGGGTTAAATGATCTTAATTAACATAACAAATGTTCTGGGAGGCTCTTTGCAGTGATCTTAGGCCTTCAGAAAAGTGTTCATTCCTTATGTTCCAGGCCTGCTGTTCACTGTTGGCACTGTTTCCAAGGTAGGGAGCCAGGGATGATGGGCTTCAGTGACACAAAAACGCAGAAATCTACGACTCAATTAATTTTCTTATCCCTGATTCTCAATATGTGCTAATTTCCAGGGGACACAAGGGGCTCAGTACAGCATTTTTTAAAAAAACACACAACAAAACCATCTCAAACTCACTGCCATTGAGGCAGAACTGACTCATAGGTCATCCTCTAGTATGTTTTCATAGGCTGTAAATCACCTCAGAGGAGCCTGGCAATCTCTCTTCCACAGAGCAGAGAGGATCTGAACCACCAACTTTTGGGTGGGCAATGCAATTTCCTCCCCACCAGGCCACCAGAGCTTCCTAATATAGCAGAAGCATGCTATTTTAATATTAAAAATTATATATATTTATTTTACAGTGAAGCTGTGCGTAAATGTACAGGCATCTGGAAGCAAGACATTCCACCTGAGAGATGAGATTCAAAGCTCTCCAGAGACAAGAAGTCCTAATGCTAAGAAGTCTAGGGTTATGTGGAGCATAGGGCAATAAACCGCCTGGTCCGTGCCAGAAACCTTGGTGCTCCACACTCCAAAGCACACACCCTTGCTCGCCTACAGCGGGAGGGATGCACCACAGAAAGCTAACGTCTCTAAAAGGGTTTAGTAGGGTTGTTTTTTTATTTCTGCCTCAAGCTGAGAGGTTCAGCCCAGGCTCTGGTTCAAATATGAGCCCTGTGCTCTTATCTCCCGCTGAAAAGAAAAATGATCAAAGAAGAATAACAAGAAAAGGATGAGAGAGTTTCAAGCTCCACAATGAACACCAAAAACTAGAAAATATTTCTGTAAAAACTTAAAAACAGCTCTGGTATTTGAGAATAGCAGTTTCTTATTAAACTAATGTTGGTGTTCCAACCGTCGATCTCATTCACTCAAGGAATAATTCTATGAGAAACACATAAGGTGATGCATCATTAACTTCTTTAACTGGTTTGTTTATTAAAATGTTTCCAACATTCTTTTAGGCCAGCTGGATTTTTCCCCCCCAAATGTCTTGACAACACAGTGAAAATATGAGAAAGTCAAAAGCTGAAGAAGACAGAAACTTGTCAGAGAAGGAAAACATAATTGTTTCCTATTAACACAAATGACAGAAAAGTGTCGAAGGCAGAAAGCGTGCAAGATCTGGGAACAACCAAACAGCCCCACCCAGTTCTAACTACCACAGATTTTTTTTTTTCTCTTATAAAGTGCTTTTTCCTCCCTCATATTAATAAAATATGAATATTCCTGGAGAAGTGGTGGGCAGAGACAAATTCTGGAATTCCAATGTGTACCAATCATTAAGGTGAGAAAAAGTAAATCTCCTCTAAAGGCAAAGCACCACACCGGACACATCAAAAGCACAGGGCGCTGAGGAGGCTGGGCGGGACCATCTCTGCAATGAGCAGCAAGTCGGTCATGTTCTGCTCCCTACCGTTTGCCATTTCCACCCACACTGCACAACCACCAGCTCTGACTAAGGGCAGCACCAGCTGTTTTCCCAGCTGCCTTCAGTCTGCACCAAACAGACACACCAGTAGAGCATGGCCTCCAGCTACCACTCCAGTACTCCTCTGTCATCAGGGTCACCTCCCAGAGGCTATCACAGATGCTCCCTGGAGATCAGGCAGAAGGAACATTCGTTTCCAAACTTAAAACTTTTTAATTATTGAATAAACGGGGCTTGATCAGAAAAAAAATTTTTTTGAAAGCGATTTTTCTAGTATTACTTCTATTCCTCTTTGGCTTCTGAAAAATAGATTTCCTTCTAAGCCATGTATTCTTCAAATACTTTTCCCCAAAGCATTTTGCAATATGAAATGAATAAAAAACAAAGCTTCTTTTCAGAGAGTTGGGAGAATTATTCCTGTCAAAGAAAATAAATTTAAGGTTTATTTTGCTTACACATAGAACAGCATTTTCGTACATGAGCTTCCTCACAACAATCTGAACAACAGGCAAATAACCTGCTCTACCTTCTGCTTCTGCCAAGAAAGTTTGTTACCGTCTCAAGTTTCAAGCGAGTCTTTACTTGCCACCTGTATGTTTTGAAAATCCTTTTCTTGGTGATAACGAAATCCGTTACGATCTACAGCTTTATCACTGCCTGCCATAAAAGTACTTGCGGCACTGTAACTTTTTTTATTTATTTATTTATTTCATATTGGTTTACTTGATCGTGCTAATGAGAAACCTCTACTGGGAACAAGAGGCAGTCATCAGAACAGAGCAAGGAAACACTGCATGGTTCAAAATTGGGAAAGGCATACACCAGGGATGTGTCCTATCTCCATACCTTTTCAACCTATATGCAGAACAGATTATCCGGGAGACTGGGCTCTATGAGGAGAAATGTGGGGTCAAGATTGGTGGAAGATCTATCAACAATCTGCGATATGCAGATGATACAACCCTGCTTGCTGAAACTGAGGAGCACCTGAAGCGCTTGCTGCAGAGAGTCAAGGACAGCAGCCTCCATATGGATTGAGGCTCAATGTCAAGAAGACAAAGATTCTCACCACTGGGCCAATTGGCAGTATCAGGATGGATGGTGAAGAGACTGAGACTGTTCACAGCTTTAGTTTGCTTGGCTCGACAGTCAACACTCTCGGCACCAGTAGCCAGGAAATAAAAAAAAAAAAACACAACGTATTGCAGTGGGAAAGTCTGCTGTTAGGGGCCTCTCCAAAGTACAGAAGAGCAATGGTGTCTCTCTGGAGACTAAGGTGCATCTGATACAGGCCATGGTCTTTGCTATCACTTGTTATGCATCAGAGAGTTGGGCAGTGACTAAGGAGGACAGAAGGAGAATTGATGCCTTTGAGCTGTGGTGCTGGAGAAGAGTATTGAGGGTACCATGGACTGTTAGGAAAACAAACAGATTCACCCTGGAAAGGGTCAAACCAGGCTGCTCCTTGGAGGCAAGGATTTTAAGGCTCCATCTAACATACTTTGGACATGCTGCAATGAGGGACAGGTCCTTGGAGAGGGACATCATGCTTGGTAGGGTGGAGGGACAGCACAGAAGTGGAAGGCCCCCTATGAGGTGGATTGATTCAGTGACTGAGGTAATCGGGATGGGTGTATCAGAGACAGTGCGACTAGCACAGGACAGAGCAGAGTTTGGGATGTTGTGCACAGGGTCGCTATGAGTCGTAAGCGACTCGATGGCACATAAAAAGAATTGGTTTGCTAACAAACTTTGAATAATTATGTCTCACACTATCCTTCACTCACATTGTGTTTCATACTGTCACTCCCATTCATTGTTTTATAGAATTAATCATCACTGAACTCTGCCCTCCCTTACCCTGTCTTTCCAGATCCCTCCTGTATCACTCCCCTTTAGCACTGTAACTTTAAAAGGAATTTTTGGGTGAACATTCAACTATGACAACATCAACAGTAAAATTACTATACTTTAAAAAAAACCTATGTCTTACATTGAGACAATTCATTCTGAATTATTAAATAATCCCATTCTCAGAATCATTTCAAATAAATTACTAGCTTTAAAAATTCCAAACCACATGTTTCAATGACAGAAGATTTCATTCTAAAAATGTTCCATTTTAAGATGTTAATACGTTTCTTTTACAACCAACAGCTGATTTTTCTTAGTGGCCTACGACCTTTCTTTAAATACATTAATGATCTGGTAATTCTTCATGCCATACTCTGAATAAGGTAGAATACTAACGTGTTAGGGGTCCAAACAAAACCACATCTAGTGCCTTGAGCTGAAGTTTTTGCCTGTGGCTCCGGTCGCTGATCTTCAACTGAGAAGTCATAAAGGATGGCTCGTGCACGGCTATCCTGTTCATTTAAGAAATGAACATACATTACAGAAAATATCTGTAGCACATTAGTCTAAATATTTTATCAACACACTTAATACTTTACACTAGTGATTTACTAGTGATTAATGTAAGAATTCCTCAGTGCCTGATTTAAAACTTTATTACATGTATCAAAAACTTTTACTGCGCAAACTTCACTGTACATTTGGAGCATTAAGACAATAGTGTTACTTTTTGCTTTTTGAAGGCTGCTTTCTTCCTTAGAATTTACAAATTTATCAATTGCAAAATATTTTATGTTCATTAATTACCTCTCTCATTTTACCAATCTTTCATAAAGAATGATAAAATTCTAAGTGACTCAGCATCAAAAACAGATTTGAAAAATACTTTTTAAGTTAGATGTCACTTTTTTCCAAAATTAAACAATGCTGACTCAGGCCAGGGTCACCAAAGGTAAATTTAGGGATTCATGTAATAAGAAGTAAAGAATCATTTCACTAGCAATGAGGAAAGCATATAGGACAGGGCAAAAGGCACATGTTAAAATCAGTGAACAAAGTCAGCATGGACAGCAAATTCAAATCATCCAGTACTCAGGAATCTTAAGTATGATGTCATATAACACAAAGTCTAATAATGATATAATTGTTAATAACAATTATACAAAAAACAAGCATGTACTATGTGCCCGGCCCTGCGCAAGAACTCAATGATAATATGCCCACATCATAGTTGAGAAAATGAAGGTTTTCAGAGGACAAGTAACTGTGCTACGGTTACATAATTAGTATGCAGCAAGACAGAAATGCAAACCCAATGTGTGAAAGCCTGAAGCACCACATTTTGTCTGGGGAGGTATCAGCACCTCTGAGCGGGAAGAAGTAACAGGAGTTCTGCTGAGGCTTCTCCAACTCTTCAGCAGGTAAGTAAGAACTCTGACTTCCTTTTAGAAAATGCCTTCCTTCATCTTCTCCAGACACTCTGTGTCCTTTAACTGACACCCAACCACATGAAGGCAGAAACTATGGCTGTCCAGCGAATCCCCAAAGCCTAGCATGGTGCGTAGCAAAAGTAAATGCTTGATACAGGTTTGCATAATAGATGAACAGTCACATGAAGGCATTAGCAGCCACACCATCAACAGACTCAAGTCAAGAGACAGAGTCATGAGGTGTAGCAAAAAGGAAACTACAGAAGAGTTTTAAGCCAGGTGCATCATGAGCCCAGAGGTGAAGTGGATTCTACCTGAATGAGGTATCAGGGAGGGCCACACACGTCTGAAAGGAATGAGGAGGCAGGTGTCAGATGAAGGGAGCCTGACTATTATTAGCTCTGGTAGTAAGATTGGGGGGGGGGGGTGTTGGAGACAGTGCTATTGGCACAGGACAGAGCAGGGTTTAGGACTGTTGTACATGGGGTCACTATGAGTTGCAAGCGACTCGACGGCACATAACAACAGTAAGATTAGAGTGCAGAAAACGCAGGGAAAGGCTCAAGATAAACTCACTACCTACCATCAAGTCAGTTTCAACTGAGAGTGACCCTATAGGAGCGGGTCTCAAAAACCCAAACTCATTGCTGTTTGGTTAGAACGAACTCACAGCTGACCTTCCATCTTTCTTCTATGGAGGTGGATCTGAACCGCCAGACTACCCTACAGACTAGGGCCCAGATTTCTCCATAGGAGAAAGAAGCACTGCCTTATAAGGGTTTTAAAGCTCTCAATCTTTAAGGAAACAAATGACTACATCTCATTCCACAGAGCAGCTGGTGACTTAGAATTACTGACCTTTTGGTTAAGCAGCTAAATACTTCACCAATGCACTAACAGGGCTCTTTATAGGTAAGGTAAGCATTATAGAAACCTAGCAATCTGGCTACCTATAATAATGTAACAACGATTTACACTGTAGAAAGGAAACTAACAACAGATTGACTACAGTCAACTGTCTAGAACCTGTAATATCATTTCTTACCCACTGCAATATGCAGCTCTTACTTTTGCAGTTGCCTTACAAAAAAACTAGATAATGGGTTAAGTTAACTCTAATCACTGCTACCTTTAAAGAAGCCTGAGGAAAGGGTTTCCTGTTTGCACCTCTCCCACACTCAAAAGTCTTCAGTGTGTTGACTTAAGAGCTGACCTTCTATGTACTTTTTTCTATAGAAATATGTTTACTATTTTTAAAATTATTCATTTATGATGTTGTTTAAACAATTCTGCCCGATATGACATCTCTCTTGGCTTTTACTTAATTAAACAATGTCTATAATTTTTCTTTTTTAAGACACAGGACAGGCTGTCTTATATAACAAGAATATTTTCATTTTCTTGTTTTATAAAGAAATTTCCCAAAGAAGTAATATATATTAAAAAAATTACTGAGTATCTCTCAAGTATAATTAATCCTGTAATGCTCGGAGCTATTTTAAGTTAGAAATTTCTTTTCTCTCTCTGCTAGCTGATGTGGTTCTGAGTAGAACGGGGTACCACAGGATTGCCATAGCTGCTGTCTTTCACATACCAGGCTTCTCTTCTGAGGAGCCTCTGGGTAGATTCAAACCATCAGCCTTTCAGTTAGTGGCAGAGTCTTAATTATTTGTGTTACTCAACAATTCCTTATGTATTTAATTCCTCTCTTCTCTCTGGAATTGAGCTGCATCATGAACATGAAACATTCATTAAGAGCAACACTAGTTGAAGTGACTCTTAAATATCCCCAAATTCAAATACGTTTATATTAAAAGTAAAAATACTGATATGGAAGTTTAGAAAATTCTATAGGAAACAAAAATGTTCAACTTGCTCCAAAATACATTATCTCCCAACAAAACCTACTTATTTCATTAAATAGTCTATGAAAGTAGGTTGATTTGAGATACAATATGCACATTTTACCACTTATAATAATGATAAAGTACTTTATTAGAATTTTTTTTTTAAATTCAGGACACCATTCAAGGAGAAATGGAACATCAGAAACAAAGGGAAAGTTGATTGACTCACTATAAATGTTAACATTTAAATCTTTAAAGTTATGAGGTCAATTAACGGCTATTTAGAAAATATAAAAACAGAAAATTCATTAAAAATGTCTAAGAGTTGAAGAGAAAAGCTTCATCTGGTTGGTCACAAAAGTCACTATGAGGCATAGTCAACTCAATAGCACTAAAACCACAAAGGATGAACTCTGGTACCAATTTCTGGACTTTGTATCAAATCTGCCTGGGTGCAAATGCTGCCTCAGACAAAATAGTTAACTTCTGTACCTTTTGCAACTGGTAAATCTGGATTAGCAATATATTCTTTATTTTAACCAACAGTCTTAAATGAGATAATATAAAGTATCTCACTGAAAAATATACTTTCAAATATATGCTATTTATTACTTATTTAAGGCATCATCATGGCACAGTGGTTAAAATGCCAGCTGCTAACCAAAAGGTTGGTGGTTCAAACCTATTAGCCACTGAGTGGGAGAAAGACGGGATAAGATCTCTCTTCATAATGTTTTGTTCCTTGGAATTCCTATAAGGAAGTTCTATTCTATCTAAAAGGGCTGCAGCGCGATACTAGGGGATAATTTTTTTTTATTAAACTTTATTTTTTAGCTGAGGTATAGCTTATGGCCACTATTTTAAAAGTATTATTGTTATTAAAAGAATATTCATAAAGGCAGATCTGTGCACTAATTCATTCAATTACGTCTCTTCATGAAGTTAAGCCAGAATTAAGTGACTAGGTTTTGTTATATTTACCAAGTGGTTAGAGGTGGTCCTGTGACATTATCTAAGTAAAGATCTACCTAATTTATCTAGTAAAATAATAGAAAATTACCTAGCCCACTCTCAAAATTACTTAAAAATGACACAAGAGAAATGGAATGATTATTTAGGTAAGAAAAATGTATTAAAATATGAAATTTCATACCTTGAAAAACTAAAGAATGTATGTATTTCTAAGTTTCTCTTAAGCCTTTAGTCATCAACGTAAACTTGAAAATCACCACTGACAAGACACTTCAAAAATATAATAATCTACTAGTAAATAAGCTGTTTGGTTAATAAATTAATGACTTACCTGGGAAGTGTTGTTCCTTTGACATTATTATCTCTAAAATTCTTCTCATACTGGGGTAGTTCCACAAACTCTATCAACCACTGAAGGGTGTCCTCAAGTGTCCAATTATGAACTGCAGGAGATAAAAAAGGAAAGTGTATTTAAAACACACATGCTTTGCATTTTTTTTTAAAAAATTACATATAATTACTGTATCTTCAGGGGAAGAAAAGATGTTAAATTTTCAATTCCATCCAGTCAAAACTTATACCTAGCATCTATGAGGAGATAAACATCCTGCCCTTAAATGTTTATAATCTCCAAAAGGGAAGACAAAGAAAAAAGGAATGAAATATTAATATGGTTAATTCTAAAATAAACACTTATACAAGGTTTTCAGAGGATAAAAGAATCCATTCTTTTCTTGGGTGGAGAAGATTTATCCTATTTTATTCATTCTCTCATTCACTTATCCATATAATAGTGTTTAGTGCCAGGCTCCCTTGTAAGTACTAGCAATACAGCAATGAACAAGATAGATAAAGTCCTTGCCTTTAGGGAATGCCAGTTGTTTCAGAGGCAAAAAGGAGTAGTTTACAAGAGAAAGAAAAAGAGGGAAATTTCAGATGTTATCAACTGTTAAGCAAAGAATTATGAATGTCAAGAGATGCATTTCGGAAGAACTGACATTTGAACTAAGACTAAAAAATGAAAGGAACCAATATTATGAAGATTTGGGAGAAAAATATTCCAAAAGCTAGAATGCTTTTAAGGTTTTAAGATAGGAATTAAGCCATGTATGAAAGACATAGGAAGACTATCTACGGGCAACTGATATTCAACTAGGAAATAAAACCTACCAAGTGAGGAAATGACCACCTCTTCAACAAATGGTGCTGGCAAAACTGGACTGCTACCTGCAGAAAGCTGAAACAGGATCCACATCTTGCACCATATACAAAAATCGCCTCAAGGTGGACAAGAACCTTGGGAGTAAAGCCCAAAACCGTAAAGTTCGTAAGAGATAAACTGGGATCACGCTTAGAAGGCCTAGTCTACGGATTAAAGAGACTGCCAAATTCAGCCAGAAATGTACAATCTGAAGAGGATAAAACTGATGAATGGAGCCATCTAAAGATTAAATAGTTCTTCAAAAACTTTTTCAAAAAGGGTGAAAAGAATATCTACTGACTGGGAACAAACAATAGGCAATACCATTTCAGACAAGAGTCTCATAACGAAAGCTTATAGAATACTCCTGGGCCTCCACAAGAAAGAGACTGATAATCCATTTACAAAATGGGCAGAACGCATGCGAAGAATTTTCACAGAGGAAGATATTCAAATAGCCAACAGACATATAAAGAAATGCTCCAAATCACTGGCAATAAGAGAGATGCAAAGCAAAACCACAATGAGATACCATATCACTCCAGTAGCAGTGGCAAAGTTTAACAGCAAAGCAAGTAATAATAAATGTTGGAGAGGATGTGGGAGATAGAACTCTTTTATATTGTTGGTAGGATTGTACAACCACTCTGGAAAGCAGTTTGGAGCTTCCTCAAAAAGCTGAACATTGAAATTCCATATGACCCAGCTATTCCGTTGCTTGGAATATACCTCAGGAAAATGAGAACTGAGGCTCAAATGGAAACTTGTACACCAATGTTCATATCAGCATTATTCACCATCGCAAGAACATGGAAACAGCCCAGAAGTCCAACCACAAATGAATGGATTGAGAAATTATGGTATATTCACACAATGGAATACTACACAGCATACAAGAGCAATGATTTTGTAAATTATTACCTAACTTGGGAGGGACTAGAGAGCATTATGCTGAGTGAGCTAACTCACTCCCACAAGGACAAATGCTGTATAAAACCATTATTGTAGAATGAGTATGAGGATCCAAGGTGGGGGGAAGGGAAATAGAGGGGTAAGGATGGGGGAGGGTAGATGTTAATCATAAGGCTGCACAATTGGATGAGTGAGTGGGGTGAAGAAAATGAAAATGATCTTTTATGAAAAACAATGCAAATAAATAAGACTAAAATAAAAAAAACCCACCTAAAAACTTAGTATCACGATATCTAAATTAAGAATAGTCTAAACAAAGTCATTCCTGAGAGAAGGGGGAAAAAAACCTCTAAAAAAGTTTCCCAATATTAGAATAGTTGAACTTTGGGATAGTTTTGTAATCAATCACTGGGAATAAATTCAGTGATTTTGTAGTTGTTGTTGTTGTTAGGTGCTGTCGTGTCACAGATGACTCACAGCGACCCTATGAAAGAAAGGCCTGAGCACTGTTTAAATAGAGTTTCCAGAGGCAAGCCATTTTGGAAGTGGATGCCACTCCTGCTTCCAGGCTTGTTTTAATCGGGAAGCTCCTACAAACACAGTCCACCATGGTAACTATTATCACATTTGGCACATCAGTGTCACAGCAACCACGAGTTACCTCTGTACAGCAACGCACAGACCAGTGCTATACCACCTTGGACTTGGTAGAATATCTGAATAGTTGAACTTTGGAATAGTTTTGTAATCAATTAACTGTGAATAAAATCAGTGATTTTATTGTAAAAAAAAAAAGACATAGGAAAAGAGTAGTCTGACAACAGTCAAAATGTGAAGAATTTTTAAGAACACTGGATATTTTTCTAATTTCCATAGAAGAACAGGATGAAATAATCTATGTTCTTAAAGGATCAATCTTTTACGTGGCAAGTAAGGAGACTTAGTAGTTCAATGGTTAAGCTAACCAAAAGGTTGGTGGTTCAGGAAATAGATTACAGCTAAAAAACTATCCAGGGCAGTTCTATTTTATAACCAGAGGTTGTTGTAAGTGAAAATCAGGTCAAATGCAGACAACAACAGTAAAATGTGGTGAATGGACTGTAGTGGCTAAGAATAGACAACTCAAAGAGACCAATAAGAAGAGTGGTCCTTACCACATCAATACTGAATATCTATTTGATGAGGTCAAGATTATTTATTGGACATTGGAATGTAAAAGAAAAACAAGTGGAACTATAATGGTTATTTTTACTTTAACGTAAGTAAACATCCTCATGAATGTACATTTCCTAGATACCTACTCAAAAGAAAAGCTGTGTATAATTTCCTTTTGCTAATGAAGCAAAAAGAGTTAACATGTCTTAAAAGTTTTTCTTCTAGTTCTACAATCTAATGTTGAGTTTTCACTTTTACTGAAATTCACTTTCTAAAAAAAAAAAGAAGAAGAAGAAGAGGAGTCCTCACAGGCCTTCCCAGAGGCTACTGGCTCAGATGGAAGAGAATCCAGTGACAGTGAGCTCGCTCACTCACTGCCTCTGAGTCAGAACTGACTCAGAGCTGACCTTCCAGTGGGTCTGCAGAGGCTTTAAAACTACACAAGGGGAGACTGCTCCTCTTTCTCCCACAGAACCACTGGCAGATTCAACCAACAGGAAGATGACACCTTTGGATTAGCAGTGCAACACCTACAGACTCTCCCAGAGCTCCTTGACAAGTGGACATATTCAGGATGGATTCTGGGCTTAATGCTTCAAGATGTGCTGATTAAATGGATGAGGTTAACAGTTTAAAAAAGAGAAATGGTAATGAGGGTGGTTCGCTTAAATGAGAAAGGACTGAGAGGAAAGGAGGTATAGACAACAGAGATGACAAGCTCTGTCTTCAGATATGTTGTTGTTGTTGTTATGTGCCCTCCAGTTGCTGCGACTCACAGTGACCCTATGTACAATAGCCCTAAACTCTGCTCTATCCTGTATCAATCGCACTGTCTTCGATGCAGCTATCCCCATTACCCCAGTCACTGAATCAATCCTCCTCATTGAGGGCCTTCCTCTCCTGCATTGTCCGTCCACCCTACCAAGAATAATGTCCCTCTTCAAGGACTGGTCCTTCCTTACAACATGTCCAAAGTATGTTAGACGGTCTCAGAATCCTTGCCTCCAAGAAGGTGCCCGGTTTAACCCTCTCCAAGATGAATCTGTTTGTTTTTGTGGCAGTCTATCTCCACCACCACAGATCAAAGGCATCAATTCTTCTATCCTCCTTAGTCATTGTCCAACTCTCTGATGCGTAACAAGTGATTACAAAGACCATGGCCTGTATCAGATGCACCTTAGTCTCCAGAGAGACACCATTGCTCTTCAGAACTTTGGAGAGGTCCCTAACAGCCGACTTTCCCATTGCAATAGGTTTTTTAATTTCCTGGCTACTGGTGCCAAGAGTGTTCACTGTGGAGCCAAGCAAACTAAAGCTGTAAACAATCTCAATTTCTTCACCATCCATCCTGATGCTGCCAATTGGTCCAGTGGTGAGAATCTTTGTCTTCTTGACATTGAGCCTCAACCCACATTGGAAGCTGTAGTCCTTGACTCTCTGCAGCAAGCACTTCAGGTCTTCTCAGTTTCAGCAAGCAGGGTTGTGTCATCTGCATGACAGATTGTTGATAGATCTTCCACCAATCCTGACACCACATTTCTCCTCATAGAGCCCCGCCTCCCAGATAATCTGCTGTGCATACAGGTTGAAAAGGTATGGAGACATGACACATCCCTGGTGTACACCCTTCCCAATTCTGAACCATGCAGTGTTTCCTTGCTCTGGTCTGATGACTGCTTCTTAGTCCAAGTATAGGTTTCGCATTAAGCACGACCAAGTGTTCTGGTATTCCCATTCTTCTCAGAGTCAGCCATAGTTTATTATGATCCACACAGTCAAATGCCTTTGCATAGTCAATGAAACACAGATAGACAATCCTCTGGTATTCCCTGCTTTCAGCTAAAATCCATCTAACATTAGCTACAATATCCCTAATACCACCACCCCTTCTAAACTCAGCCTGGACTTCCAGCAATTCTCTGTTGATGTGCTGTTCCAGTTGTTTTTGGATAATCATCAGTAGAATCTTGCTTGCATGTAAAATCAAAGATATTGTTCTATAGTTCCCATACTCTATTGGGTCACCTTTCTTTGGAAAGGGAACAAATATAGATCTTTTCTAGTCAGCTGACCAAGTAGTTGTCCTCCAGGTTTCTTGGCACAACTTGGTGAGCACGTCCAGGGCAGCATCTGTTAGCTGAAATATGTCAATTGGTATACCATCTATTCCTGGGG